GGGGTTTGCTGTTTAGGTGATAATAATGGCATTTCAAGAAATGCCTACACATGAAATTAAGTCAAATAATTTCAAATACACAAAATACACACAGCTAAATTGATAGTCTCAAAATGCTGCAAATACAAGGAAATATTAATGTGAAGAAATATTAGAATTGGCTCAGCAAGAAATTATGCAATATCACATTTGCATATAAAAAAAAGAGAAATAGTTCATTAGCAGTAAAGATAGTAAAAGCAACTTGGCTTTTATTATTTCTCTCATTTAATATGTCATATATCATATCTGTGTATAGCTTTAAGCTCGTATTAATCAACCAAGTTGTGGACTTTCATTTTCTTGTATCAATTGCTGTGTGATTTGCAATCATCAACGATGCGATGAGTTGCCAGCGGTAAATCTGTGATAAAAACATATCAAATATTACGTATACGTAACGACTGGCCAATTGAGGCTCTTTTTTTGCGACATTTGCAGCTGTCACACATTTCAAACTTTCTGCTGCTGATGTTGATGCTAATGCTGATACTGATGCTGCTGCTGCTGCTGCTGTTGCTGTTGCTGCTGTTTCTGCTACTGCTGCTACTGCTTGTTATACGCAAGTTAATCATGATATTTATGCCACGCCCCTTGGTGTTGTCGCCCCCTTGTGGCCAAGCTCGCTTTAGACAATAAAAGACAACGGCTCAGGCGCTAATGAAATTTACTGGCCCGACTCTTGCAACTGGAGTCTGGACACGCGCCTACGACAGCGCCTAATGAATGTGCAACAGCAACAGTAACAACAACAACAACAACAACAACGAGCATGAGTGGCATTCTGCATGTGGCAATAAAATATCTGGCAAACGAATTGTCGTTAATCAGCGCTCAGGCGAATGGCGAAGTTGAAGTCCATGTCCAAGTCGAAGTTGAGTTTTTAGACGCTCGATGTTGCTGTTGCTGCTGCTGCTGTTGCTGCTGCTGTTGTTGTTATTGCTGTTGTTGCAATTGTTGTGCAGTAGCTAAACACCCACACATCAACAAAAACACACACACACACGTACACACGTACACACACATAGTGCAAATCTCCACCTTGCCCATATTCTCCATTCTCAGTTTTGCGCTCCTTTCGTGCCTGTAATCAAAACTGTCGCCTATGAAAAATGTGCAGGGCAATGGCGTCGAACCCTGCATATAAGCAACAACAACAACAACAACAACACACACACACACATACACACACACACATTGCAAACGCACACACATATAGAAAAACGCCCACACATGCAAAAGCTTTGGGTTCTGTTTATATCCTGTACCCATTAAAAGCATGTCTTTAAAATATGGGTATCATGAAGCTGTGTAAATGTATGTAACAAGCAGAAGAAGAAGCAGAAAATAAGTGCACTCCCATAAACCATATATATATATAAATATATAGATAGATAAAGATAAAACCGCTTTATTGCATTACATTCCAGATAAATCCATTCAAAGAGATCAATGAATTTCGATTTACTGTGCAATTTCTCGAATGGTATAGGATATCTACAAGTCGAACACACTCGCTGCATTGTTATTAGCAATTCTCTACTTATTTTTCCTTTTTTATATGTGCACATTTTCAATGCTGTGGCGTATAATAAAAATATAAAATAAAAGTAGCTGTTAGTTTGAAAACCGCACTTTGCAAAACTGTAGTTAAAGAAGCGCACAAATAAATACACAGAGCAACTTATGCAGAGGTACCTCAACGTAAAGTGATTTGTATGTATGTGTGTGCGTGTGTGTATCTATGAGTTAATTCGTGTTGGTTGCCATAAATGTTTTTGCATTTTCCTCTGTATGGGTTTTAAAAAGTGCGTTGGGTTTCATTAAATGGGACTGAAGTCTGCTTAAAAGATATTCTCTCAGCCATATTAAACTTAAACTCATTTAGTATCTTAAAGTTGAATAGCAAATAAATAACAAATTATTAACTTTTATTATGTAATTTAATATTAGTTCAACTAGCAAATTCAGACGCTAAAACTAAAAAGTCTGCAAAGATATATTTATATTTATTAGTTCAAATCGAATGTTTTTTCTCGCTTTTTTAGGGCTCACCTCGAAAGTTCGTATTTCTTTTTATCATAAATTATTCTCAACATTTTTGTGATACCCCAAATTTAAAGGGTTAGGGGGATATATCGCCGCCATGTTTGATGTACACATCAATTAGCCGGGAGCATTTTTTTCGATCCGCGCCAAATGGACAAACAACACACAAAATGAAAATAATAAATGTTTTTCAACTTTCGTTCGTGTTTCATTGCTGTGCGTGTGTGAGTAAAAATTAATGAAAAAAAAACTGTCGTCAGCTATTTCAAAGTGGCATACAAATTTGATAAGGCATTTTTTTCCTACTTGTTCTTTTTTTCCACTGCGTCAGCTATAGCAACAAAACAAACAATGCAAAATTTATACATATATATATATGTATAGATTAAAAAAAAGGAAGAACATTTTAATCGAATGTCACCGACTGCGCAATACATTGTTTCCGCATTAACTAGAATTGGGCGGTGGAAATAATGTATTGGATTGATCTTTGTCAACACTCATCAGTTGCTAATATTTTCAAATTGGCTGCGGCAAATATTTTGGATCACAAATATGCGAGCAAACAATACGAATATTCAAAGTTTGCATTATTGTCAAACATATTGCAATATGCATGCCCACTTGACCTATGGGGGGCAGAGTATAAAAACTCAGCGAACGAGGAGCCATGTCAGCCATTTTGTTGTTGTTGGGGGTAGGCTAACTATCATGTACAGTGGAGTCGGCGAACTGTATTAACTTGTGTATGAAGGTTATGATATTATGTAAAACTTAATATGCGACAAATTTGATATACTATTATATTTTATACACGAGCCTCGGCAAAGTTAAGTTAAGTTTCAGATAAATAACAACTCTTTTCTTGATGTTGCTTTTTTTTTAAAAGCTATAGCTTTTAAAAGGTTTAAGGCAATAGATTAGCTTCAATACAATCAATAATCCAATTAAGTAAATTCGCCATTAAAATTCAAATTAATTTAATTTATTGAGTTGTCTTGCTTTGTGTGATTTATCATAAATTAATAATTTAAAAATAATAAGCAAATCAACAAATGCTTATATATTCATAGTCTTGTCATAAACTGTAGAAAGTATTTGTGTATTTATACGTTTTTCCCCTTTTATTTCTGTATGTCCCAGTAAGCTCTAGTCGAGGAACACTTTGAAGTCCACTTGCCAGTAGCAGAAGTGAATGATTTTTTCAACTACAGGACGTGCCGCTATTTTCCTTGTTGTCCCTGTAAGGGGCACTGGAAGGGGGATGGGATGTGGGGGTAGGCGGTTGGTGGTGTGTACATCTCCGACTCCATTAGCATTGTTGCTGCCAGTATATAGCAATTTTGGTTGTGACGACAACGTCGGTCGCTGCTGCCGTTCCTGCTGCTGCTGCTGCTGCTGCTTTTGCTGTTATGTTGGGTGTTTGTCGTCCTGACCAGAGTCCTTTACCTCATTGCCCCGCACAGTCTGCAACATGCTCCCTCTCTCTTCTCTGCTGTTCTCTCTGCTTGTTATTTATTTCGTCGTCGTTTTTTTTTCTTTTTTATATTATTTTATTATTTATTTTCATTCCTGCTAACTAACAATTTCGGCATTGCTTTAGTAGTGGAGTTTTGCGTGTGTTTGGGCTGCTGTCATTCTCATTAAAATTTCATTGCGCGCGCAAAACACAGCAACAACAACAGCAACAACAACAACTAAGGGGAATCAAACAATTTGTGCAAAAACAACAAGAAAAAGATAAATAAAAAGCAAAGTTGGCGCTCTGCTTGGTTGTTGAACCGAGTGCGAAGAAGTGGCAGCTAGCAGCAGCAGCAGCAGCGGCAACAGCAACAGCAATAGCAACAACAACAACCACTGAAATTTTCATTGTTTTTGGGGGTGTGGTTCAGCAAAAAACACACAAACACCAACAACACATAGGTAAATACAGCTGCCAGATGCAGCGCACTCGCTCACACTTGTCCCATTGTCGCGCCGGTGTGAGCGAGTCAAAAGAGAAGCCGCTGCTAGCGTCAACAAAATATACGCTGCCAACCAGCCAGGCAATCGCTGCTGCACACCATCCAGTCATCTCGCTCTGGCGCACGCTGTGCTCGCCTCATGTTCGCTGTCAGCCATTGCTTAACCGTTGCGCTCTCGCTCTCAATTTACGAGAGTATGTCGGTGTGTGTGTGTGAGTGTGTGTGTGTGTGTGTGCGTGCGTGCGTGGAAAAAGGAAGTTGCTTGGCCTCTTGTTGTTGCTGTTGCTGCCGTTTGACGATATACGACGACGATACGACGACGACGACGACGACTACAACGACTACAACGACAACGACAACAACGACAACAACGACGACGACGACGAGAGTAGAAGCAACGGCAGAAACAACAACAAATTGGACTGGTCGAACGACTTCTGCTGCCGCAGTCGCTGCTTGCTTGTGTGCTTGCCGCTGTTGGGTTACCGCTGTTACCGCCGCTGCTGCTGCTGCTCGCATTGAAGGTGTCACGACGAAAATCAGTTCCAAAGTAACATTCGTGCCGCTCGGGTTGTGCGTTCGTCGCTCCGCTCGCTCGTTTTGTTGTTGGTCCACAGCGTTTCATCGTTTACCGTTCACCGTTATACTTCGCCGCGTTTGTTGATTGCCGTGTCACGCACACAACCATAAGCACACGCAAGCAATACACACACACACACACACACACAAGCACACACTCTCACACCCAGAAATAATAAAAACAAATTCGATATCACAACAGACGTCGCAAAAGTTATATGCAAAAATACAAAAATTCCAAAAAAAAATATATTGAATTTGAGAAAAAAAGTAGAAATAAACACACACAACAACAAACATTGGTGTATGCGCGTGTGCAACAACAACAACATCAGCATCAACAACAACTGCAACAACAGCAACAACAGCAACAACAACAACAAAAACAAACAACAACAACGAGTACAACCGCTAGCAAAAGTTCTTAAAGATACTCCGCTCCTCAACGCAAACAGTGTGCATTGTTTTTTTGGTGTCTGTCGCAAGTGTATTTGTCCTTAACCTGGCTATAACAACAACAATAACTCAACCGCCACAATAACTGAGAATCGAAAATAATATATAGTTAATACTATATGCAATCAGCCAGACAGTGCATAATCTAAACAGATGCCACCAACGCAAACAATTGGATCTATATACAAATAATATATACCACAGTCATATCCGATCTACGATCTACGATCTCCGATCTCTGTTAACGGTCCTTTCCTCGATCGTTTGGAATATCCGTTCGACGGGGCAAGTTGCGCGTTATTGGTTTTTCTTTTTTTTTTGGTGAGTGCTGTTTCCAGATGAGTTTTGCACTTGTACAAAACCATCGATTAAATAAATTTATATACGTACTACTACCACAATCTAATATCAACACATTGTATGTATTTTGCAACCAACTAACACAACGACGACGCTGCAAACACGACACGGCAAGGATTATAACTATCATCTAGATTCATGCAAGCTTATCTAGTAGCTATAAGTCAAAAGAAAAGCGAAAATAGTTTCGATTGATTTTTGGTTTTATATACGATGACACCGATCTGAGCCAGTCTTAAACATACTTATGTTTACCTATATATACCTAAGTTAATTACATCCAAAATTGGACCGTCGGCGGGGCTAGACTAAAACTAAAACAATGAAAAAGTAGTCAGATATATATATGTATATATATATATATATATATCTACATGAAAACCTGGAATATGAGTGTATTTGAATTGCAATATTTGCGAATGACCCATTTAATTTGCCGTGCTCAAAAAAACCATAATTAAATGAGTAAATAAAAAGTGTTACAATTTATTCATACACAAATCAAATGTTTAATAACAGTATGTAATTGTTGCAATTTGACAAAGTGAGCAAACTAATGTGTTAGTCAATAATAGTAATCGTGAGGCATGCATATAGGTAGACAGATATAGAGTTGATCGAAAATCGAAAAGCGATGCTTATGAAATGCATTAAGTTATTTAAATTTTTAAGTAGTGCTTTGTAGCTCAAATCTCAAATCAAGCACAGAGTTATGCATCGTCATTGTGAGGGGTATCAATATGATTATAATTTATGTTCTACATTTAATACAGCAGACTAGTTGCACTAAAAAGCAGTTGGGCCAGTTAGAAGATGGAAGAAGATAGAAGAAGAGTTTGCGATGCAGGCATACAGGAAATTCCAGATGAGTAAGCTGCATGGTGTTCGCAGCTAGATAGATTGTTCAAACTGAAAACGCAACGAATTCAAAATAGATTTTCATAATTTTAATGGGCATATTAAAGCCGCCCCTTTTGGACTGTTTGTTAATTAGGCAAAGGGCGAACAATCGATATATGGCTGTAATCAGCAACAACAAAGGCCAAAAAGTCAAAAGCCATGACTCAAGAGTCAAGAGTCAAGAGTCAAGTCAAAAGCAAAACATTAGCAGCCAACAACAACAACAGCAACAACAGCAACAAGAACAACAACAAGAACAACAATAACAACAACAACAACAACTAACTAACATACTATAAGTAGTATGCATATGCTATAATTATATGCGAGGGGCTACCTGAACCCAAAACTACTGTGCAGCATCGCCTCACAATGGAGATGAACAAAACTATGTTGAACAAAACTATGTTGAACAAAACTATGCTGAACCTAAGCGATGCTTACTTCGGTCTCCAATCCAATATCCACTCAACTAAAGCGTTGTTAACCGACGGACCCGTTCAGGTCACATTATTCACACATTTTGATAAGTTTTTTGGTTTTTTTCTTCTTTTTTTTTTTCTGGGGTATTGTTGCTGTTGCCGCCGCGCTTTATTAGCTAATTTCAAAGCGGCTTGGCTATAAATTAAAACATCGAGCGTCTTTTCTGTATATTCATACGTGCATACAAACAAACGTATATATTTTTAATATTTTTGTGTCTCGTCGCTGCTTTTTGTATTATTATTATTATTAATTTGCATAGATATGTATATGGATGTTTCTGTATGTTTTCTGTTCAAATTAATATGCAAGGCAATTTGTTTTGGCTGGCCGGCTGGTTGGTTGGCTGGTTGGCTGGCTGGCTGGCTGGCAACCGTCAGATACCGACAACCGACAGACGCTCTTACTCCACCGAGATTCATTCTCTGCCCCCAAAAAAAATATAAGAAACACTGAGGCCGAGACTAAGACTGAGCCAGAGACTGCGCTGAGCAGAGCATAAAAGGCCCCCTCCAATCGCCCACGCGAAAGCAACAAGAACAACAACAATATCAATATACCATGTACCATTCCACTAGCAATTTCAATTTCAATTTGAATCGAGGCAGGCAAGTTCATTCATTCATTCATATCCAGCATCGAGCACCGAGCACCGAGCATTGAGCACCGAGCATCCAGCATCCATATCCACAACCAAAATCCACATCCGTTACTTGGTCCGTTTCAATTCATGAATTGAATTCAAGTCAAGATCGCGTCGCGACATTTTGATAGCTTATCTGAGAGAGCCAAAGCTTCCAGGCCCAACAGAGTGCCATTGTTTAGCATAGATACATCGATGCACGCCCAATATCTGTGTGCCTACACTATTTTGATTTCTTCTTGAACAACTGAGCTGAGCTCGGCGTCGGAGACGGAGACGGAGACGGAGTCTCTATGAGAGTGAGAGACGGGGGCGGGTGCGGGTGCGGAGGCTCATACGGATTCGAGTCTTTGTCAATTTGTGACGCCTTGGCGTCGCCTCGCCTTGCCTTAAGTGAGGTTTCATTTCATTTCGATTGACTTCTTTTCTTCTTATTATTTCGTGTTTTTTTTTTTTGTGTTATTTTTTTTATTTATTTTTTTTTTTTCCAATTATTTGTATTAATTTTTATCTCTCTTCACTCTTTGCTCATTACGCGGCTGTACCCGAACTTTTTAGTTGTTTTTGCTTCTCGAATTTCGTTGACAAAGCCATTTAAATAGAAATCACTCACGGGGACCAGGCCAGGCAAGACCAGGCCAGACGAGACCAGACCAGACCAAACCTAACCGTACCATGCCGAACCGGCCAGTTATCAAGATCACATTGACAATGCGTCAAATAATAAGTTTGTTGTTATTGTTGCTGTTGTTGTTACTGTTTTTGGTCTCAGTGTCTCTTTGCCCAGTCAGGGCTCTTTACTCTATTACCGTAGCGCATTATTATTGATTTGTGCCTATGTGTGGTGTGTGTGTGTGGTGTGTGTGTGTGTGTGTGTGTGTTTGTTTGATTTATTTTTACTATGATGCAATCATTTGTACAAGCCAAGTCCGAATTGAAGGCAACATTCATTCATTTATTCACTCACACACTCTCAGACTCGTTGTCACAATATTTCAATAATTTTGCTGTTCATTTGTTGTTGTTGTTGTTTCTTTTATTGTGTTGTGGCTGCTGTTGCTATTTTTACAATATTGAATGGGCCAAACAATCATCCTTATGACTTGTAAAGTTCATCGGGCAACGGACAACGGACAACGGGGCAAGGAGCAAAGTGTGACAGGCAATTGGACCCAATTAGCCGTATATGCATGAATAATCGTTAATTGATTTGAGTTTGAAACCTGCTTAGCAGTTGCAAACATATCAAAATTGCAGTTTGCAATTTACATTTAACAGCGTGAAACAACTCATTCAGAAAATGCATAGAGTTCAGTTGCATATTTCAGATTGTGCCCGCCCGAGTTGTCTGATTGCAATCGCACTGACTTGTTTTCAAACTATAACTCTTGGCCAATTTGTCATTGGGCAATGGGTGATTAAAATGCTAACGGTGTGCTTCTATTAATTATATAGTCAAGTGCTCAATTGTCAATTTAATTTAATGTGTAATGCATATGATTAACAAAATGAGAAACTATTGCAAGCACAGAAAAATAAAAAATTTAAAAATTGAATAAATGAAAAAATGAAAAAAAAATCTAATTAAAAATAAATGGGCAAGTTGTCGCCATATCTGGCGATATTAGCCGTTGGCTGCTGGCTGTTGGCTGTTATCGGTTTAGCAAGTGGTTTCTAGGCCATGTGCACATTTTAAATGCGTCTTAAACTTGTCAAATCTTCACACTTTTTCAATTATTTGGCACGTTTGTTAATTAAACTTCAGCAACGTCAACGTCAGTATGTCACTCAGTGCAGTCAGAGAGTCGCCGGAGTCAGTAGCTGGAATTGTACACATCAACATCAACAACATCATCAGTGGCAACAGCGGCAACAGCAGCGGCAACAACAGCAGTTGCAAGGTTGCATTTTCACCAATGAAAAAATAAATATAATTTTATGCGAAAATTGCAAATTTAAATGTCAAAATGGATTTGCGTAGAAATGGCACATGGTCTAAAACTGGCTACCAGTTCCAGTCTGCCTCTCTCTCTCTCTCTCCCTCTCTCTCTCTCTGTCTCGCTCTCTCTGTCTCCGTCTGTCTGTCTTCCTTTCTCTCTGTGTGTCTCACTCTCTTTCCCGTTTCCAGTTGCTAAGTTGCCAGCATTGCAATGTGGCAGCTTGGGACGTGCCACCTCAGCCGCCTTGCATTCTTTGTTGCGTTTATTAAGTTGCATTATTTTCGACAGACAGCTTATTATGCTAGGCTAGTCTTAGTCTCAGACTACGTCCCCTTCTACGTCTCCGACTCCGACTCCGTCGTCGTCATCGTCGCCGTCGCCGTCTCCGTCTGACTACTAGTTTTAGTCACAGTCCGCTCGTTGAGCGACTTGTTGTTGTTCTTGTTGTTGCTCACTGCTGCTGCTGCTGCTGGTTGCATACATATATTCCAGTAGCTACACGCTATGTAAATGAGCCTGAGAAATATTTCTCAGGTCGGCCATAACGTTAGCGTTATTCACACTTTTTCTACACTGTGCTGCAAGCGAAACGCACAACTTACGAAAGTTGCAACATCCACTGTTGACAGCTTTTGTTCACCAAATTCACATTAGTTGAAACTTTCACACAGACAGACGCACAAATGGGTTTTTTTTGCCTGTGGCATTGCTGATATGGTAAATCGTTATGATTTCTAGTCTTGTGTTGGGCACTGTAAATACACACGCCTGGACATATCAAGCGGTTACAGAGCTTGTTAAGGCAGCTAATAGCCGCAATTGCTGCAGCACAGCAGCAACAACAGCAACAACAACAGCAACAACAACTGGACTACTTACTGCTTATGACAAGTGAGCACTTTTGACAGCTGGTTGCACTCGCTTCTCGCTATCTATCTGCGGTCATATGCACGTCTTAAAGCTTAAGTATCTCTGGTAATTTGCCGCTGGATTTGGCCGAATGTTGCACAATAAACTTGGCTGTCAGGTCTTTGGTCTTTGGTAATAGAACGGTATATATTCGCAATCGTGCTATCAACCACAACAACAACAAGTCGATTCGCATCTTATTTGGCCAGAGTTTGAACTTGGCTTTATGCGATGTGGCTCATCTTTCGCTTTCTAAACACACATTCAATGCTACAAGTCTGCTGAAGAAGTCAATCAGCAATCAGCCGTCTCCATTTGAATGCAACAACATTTGTATTTGTACAACATTTGAATGGCCAGCAAGTCATTAATCAAATAAATGCAAAATATATTAATTGATCAACTTGAAACTGTCGAAGAGTTTTTAGCATCGACAACACACGCACAAAAAATATTCCCATGGCACAAATTAACAGTAGCCACAGCTAAAAATCACCAAAATTTGGTTACACACTTTCCCAGGGTACCATCAGAAAAAAACAAACCAACAACGAAGAAAACAAAAAAACAGAGATAAAACACACAAAAAACAAAAAACAAAGTTAAAGAAGGAGAAGAAGAAGCAGCATATGAAGAAGAAGAAGCAGCAGCAGCAGTCCAAGTCTATAACACAATCTTCTTGGGCTACCGTTTCGACAGTTGTCCAGTTGTCCAGTTGTTCAGTTGTTCAGTTATCCGATCTTAAAGTGCGGGCCCATTGGTCCAATTGTCCAGTGGTCGGTCAATTGTCAGTTAGTCAATCAGTCAGTCAGTCAGTCAGTGAGTCAGTCAGTGAGTCAGTCAGTCAGTCAGTTGACGAGTCAATCAGTTGGAAGATTCGGTAGCGTTCGATTTGTTTATTTTCCTAAGGCTGTTTACTTTCAGATCGCCGCTGTCAGCCAGTAGTAGTTTGAAAATATTATTTTGACCGTAATTACGAGCAAGAGGCAGGAGGGAAAATATGTATGTATATGGCGAAGTACATTACAAGAATCATAAGCCAAACACACCAAAATAGCGACGGCATGCAGCAGGATAGGAGTCAAATTTGAAAGGTGGCAGCAACACAGACAACAAGATGGAACCAAAAAAAAGAAAACCAGAAATAAATAAGAAACCAACTCAGCAAATGCCCGGAAACTGAAAGTGAAAATGCAGAATGCCGATTGTCGAACGTCGAACGTCGAATGCCGAGTGAATTTTTTATGAAAGTGCGTGTACGTGATATATGTCGAGCCGAAATGATTTTGTGGCAGAGAGTCCCCGTTTTCAAGTCCCCGAAGCGCAATCACAAAAGCCAGCGGGGCCTTTGGCTCTTTTATTTTTTGCCATGATTTTTCATAATCAGCAGCGACGAATGACAACAAAATCACGTAGCTCTCTATTTTGTTTTCTTGTTTCTATTTTAGTGGATATTTCTTCTTTTTTTTTTGTTTTGTATGTGCCACATTTGGCAATAAACAATTGAGCCAGAAACAGATACAGACACAAATACATGTCATGCTATATATACATTTATATATAGCTCTTTCGGAGGTGTCAAGTTGGCGACGTCAGACATTGAGATTTATTATGGTTTACCTGTATAAAACACGATTTATGACAATTTCTAGCATATTTATAACTTATTAAATGTTTATTACAAAAATACACTATTTATTTGGTTAGTTAAGAACTTTGTTTTACGTACGGCTCAGATTTGAGAGCCGTATTTAGGGTCTGTTATCGCAATGGCACTGTAAGATTACCCAACTCGATAATCACGCCAACGGGTACCGCCTAGACTTAGACTTTCTTTGGGCTGTCCTGCGGTTCGAAGATGTTTGATCTGTGCTTAGCCGCTGGATTAGCTCCGACACTCACTAAGAGGACGAAATGGGATGTGCAGAGTTGAGGTAGGAACACACACACACAGAGACACACATGAGCATTAAGCATTTTGCATTGGGCATGATGAGACAATGGCTTGGGTATTAAGATTAGGCGCAGACAAAACTCAACCTTAACCTCAAACTGAATCTGGCTTAATACTCATATGCCCGGCGACCAGTTCAAAACTCTTTTGTCCAACATCATTTCTTTTTTTTCTCATTTCAAATTTTTGGTCGTTTCGTGCGAAAAAAATTAGCACTATCGAATACTTACTGTGTGGACAGGGACAGGGACAGGGACAGGGACGGGGACGGGGACGGGGACAGGCAGTAGGGAAGTGAGAGGCAGTGAAATTGCGGGATTAGCACGGACACCTCGGCGGTCTTTCATTGTTGTGAAATTGGCAAATGCAGCTAGGCTATTTGTCACATGAATATATATATATATATATATATATATAAGCATGCATGTATAGCATCTACCCGAAAAATCAATCCACACATAGCACACTAAGTAGCCTGCAATGGGAACAACAAATTTGTTTTGTTTTGTCATGTCGTTTTCATGGCTGAATGCATCCAAATGCATCCAGTGAACGCAAGCGAAATGGAAACCGGCAAAGCCAAAAACCAAAGCCGCAAATTCATCGCAACATCCACTCGAGCCAGAATCCCTCAATATACATGTATATTGGTATGCTGACATACCAAATACCGAAATCGAAACAGAAACAGAAACCGAAACCGAAACCCAAACCCAAACCCAAACACAAACCCAATAAAACGGAGTACGCTCGCCGTCTCTGTCTCCGTCTCCGTCTCCGCCCGCAGACCGCAAATTACATGCTCACGCGCACACTCAAATTAATAACACATCTGGCTCAAATTGATGTTCAGGCGCAGGCCAGCCGACTGACCAATCTGGCAACGCGGCTCAGTTCATGCCCCAGGAGTATCAGCGGGCCATTGAAACTGTTTCAAGTAGTTTCGCTTGATGACCCGCTCGGATATGGTGGTCTGAAAATAGAATAATCAACTGAGTGAATCTTTTTAAAGGTTACGAATGTATTTACATTGTGAAGCATCTCTCTGGAGATGAGTCTCGAATAGATATTTACATATATCGGTGTATAAATTATATACCTATTTCATTTATAATATGAGATACGAAGATACTAAAATATGTAGAAACTATTGCACGCATATCCTTTTTACATAATTAGATAATAACATACCAAAAAGGGATTTAAACATAATTAAAATTGTTGCCAACTTTATAGCAATTTTCTATTTTAACTTGCATGTCGAATTTGTCATATTTATTATTATAAATGAATATGTAATTCAACTACACATCAAATACAATAATTAATTAGGTAAATTAAAATACAATAATTAATTTTCAACGCAGTTTGCCACAACTTTTAACCACATTAACAGAAAATCGCAAAGTTCTTTAGAATTTGCAAGTCAGTAATTCAAAGGAACTTGCGCTTTATTATGTGTAATCATACAGAATATAATTAACTGAATGTGCATTAGAAAATAATTATTTAAGCTAGTCGTCCCCCAGTGCTTTAGAGATGAGGTATATTCAAGGGGTTTTGCTTTTTAAACAAAGTAAGCATGTAAAAAGCGAACATTTCTGCAACATGTCAGCATTGAATTTTATTATTTGAAGTTGTGTTGCCATTCGAATATTGTCACAGAACATGCACAGTTCAATTCGCTCTCTAAAATCCGTTTAAAAATAAATAAATTATTAATCCTTTGCAGATAAACGCCGAGCAACAAGTGTTAATTAAAAACAACGGAGAGGTGACTGCAGCGTCCACAGAGCCGCAGATCCAGAGGTCCACAGTGGTGCACAGAGAGGAGGACGAGCACTCAAGGGTGAGGGACAGTAAGTCAGTGTAGAGAGATTTGAATCAGGATCAGCCAAGGATATAAATAACAGCATCAACGTGGCGCTGCACTCAACGGAAGCCTTAATGGCGGCGGGCTTTCTCAAATCAGGTGATTTGGGCCCACATCCGCACAGCTATGGCGGCCCACATCCGCACCACTCGGTGCCGCATGGGCCGCTGCCGCCGGGCATGCCGATGCCATCGTTGGGTCCCTTCGGCCTGCCACACGGACTGGAGGCCGTTGGGTTCTCCCAAGGTATGTGGGGTAAATATCGCATTGCAATTTTGGTAAAAAAAAAAAAAAAAAAACGAAAAAAGAAAACAACAACAACAAATACACACACGTAAGAACTGAGCGAAAACAATGTGCTGAAAGTTGAATGTGGGGATCCAACCACAAAATCTCTCCAACTAACACTTCTCCCCTCTTTTCCCCTCTCAAATTGATAAATGATATATGGGGCGCATGAGCAGACGCCGTTTTGCCTGATAACTCAATTTGCATGCGCAGGATGACGTTTGGGGCAATATTGGGGATAAGTTACTCGGAATGGGTATTGAGTCTTGAGTATTGAGTATTGAGTATTGAGTATGGGGCATGTCGTTGTCGATGTGGATGTCGATGTGCAGCCCAGTTGTCGCACAAAATGCTTTTCAATGCCATTTCGCATCGATTGCATCATTATCAGTTGAATTGTCAAAATGAATAATGAGCTGAGGCTGAAGCTGAAGCTGAAGTCGAAGTCGAAGTCGAATCTCAGCTCTGGGAATCCATGAGTCGAGTGTTTGGGTTCCGGTTTTTTTTTCTTCATCTTTTTATTTTATTTTATTTAGTTTTTATTTTTTTTTATTTTTTGGGGTTTTTGTCTCATTTTGGTGACGCTGCAAATGACAAAAACCTGACAAAAATGCTACAAAATGCCAAAAAGCAAACCAACAAAAAATAATACAAAAAAAAAAAAACTTTTAACGCCAACAAAAGATTTGCGCAGAAAAAGAAAAAAATATATATATTAAGCAGTCAGAAAGTAGAAGAAGACAGAGAGAAAAATACACAATCGCATGTAATAAATTTTTATTTATTTCAACTTGTAATAAGCCAAGTTAAAGCAGAACCTGACGATGGATGATATACTCATGTTATATAAGGCATCAATTTTCGGCTTGTGCAACTGCCAAAAAGCAAATACAATAAGGTTTTCTCAGAGTTGAATTGATATGATATGAGCACCCATCTAGATGAATGGAAGCAAAAATATAGTTGTTTTTGGCAAAGAATATTTACAAATAAGCCAACAAAAATATGTGGGATATTTACCTAAGTAATTCAGGGACTTAAACATAAAACAAAACTTTAGAAAATCGACAGCATAAATGTAAGAATCATTAATAGCGTCAAACAAGTTAAAACAAATAAGAAAGATGTGATAAGTTGCTTTGATTGAAATTCGACATCAACTTTTAGTTGAGAGCTGTCTAAATATTGACTCATTAGCAGCTGAAACTTGGATATCATTTCAGATCAGCCTTGGTCTTTTTACTATTCAGGTATGTATATGCTGAGAGTCAGTTTTAAGCTTGAGCAAATATCAATTCCAGAAAAAACAAACTGATAAATATGAAAACAACAAAATAACCAATGGGCGCAGTTAATTTTCCAAGGTTTCGGGCACTACAAAATAACATATAAAAAATAAAAAATAACAACAACAAAAAATGCTCTTGGCTGATTTTGTTATTGTTGTTGTGCGCCGCAAAAAGCAAACTACAAATTGCAATTAATTTTGTTTTAAAGCAGCAACAACAACAACAACAACAACAACAGCAACAGCAAGAAAAACAACAACCACTGCTGTGGCGACCATTTTGAAAGCGACAAAATAAAAATGAAAATAAACTAAAAGCAACAACGAAAAGCGGCAGCTGCAAAGACAGAGACAGAGGTAGGGGCAGAGACAGAGGCAGAGGCAGAGACAGAGGCAGTGGCAGTGGTAGAGGGTGATGCAGTGGCAGTGGCAAAGGCAAAGGCAAAGGCGATACGCGAGCAAAGTGAAGTTAAATTTTTATTCAATTTATAAATTCATGAGCAAAATGACTAACTCATTAATTTTTGATAGAGCCAAAGACTTCACACGTGCGCCAGACAGAGATGGGCATACATGTGTAGCTAGCTCAAGACAGGGTGGCTGGATGGCAGCGACAGCAGGGTGAGCAGGGGGAGCAGGGGGAGGGGGGGTTCGAATTGAAAAGGCATTTTGTCATGCCCTGGCCAAAAAGGGGTGCTCTCGCTGAATATTTGGGACAGCAGCACAGCAGACACGCACCGACAAACGGCTGCCCGGCAAAAACAAACAATGCCACGGCTTAGCACACACACACACATAGACACACTCATAGTCGCTTTTATATACACATACTTGTGTGTGTGTGTGTGTATGTGAGTACATTATATATACACATTCATATAGAAGAAATTTTGGGTTTGCCGCTGCTGCTGTGCGGGGTTGGTTGGTTCAAAACACAGAACGCTTTTAGGGGTGGAATTTTTTATAGGGGTTGCTAAGAATAACGGTTTGCCTGTTGGTACAAATAAAAAGCCAAAAACACTGGGAAAAGTATGACAAGAAAAAAATACGCACACACAAGAATTCCGATTCGGCATGTTAATTAAAGTTTCCATTTGCCGACGATGCGTATGCGCAATATATGCATATATATATATACATATATACATATAAGTATATATATATAAGTATATGTATGTATATATATATATACATATAAATATTTTTAAATATATGTAGATTTGGTAGCCCCAACTTTCAGCACATTTGGTTAGGCACTCGACTATTTGCAAATGGAAGCTAATTTACGCTTTTTTCTTTTATTATTATTTAAATACATTTTACAGGAGTCAACACGAGAAAACAGCGTCGGGAGAGAACAACATTCACACGGGCCCAGCTCGATGTTTTGGAGGCGCTCTTTGGCAAGACACGTTACCCGGACATATTCATGCGCGAGGAGGTCGCATTAAAGATAAATCTGCCCGAATCCAGAGTACAGGTTAGTCATATACTTAATCAACAACCAACTTAACTTAACTTAACTAACCAAAAAAACAAAAACAAAAATTTATCATCTTATTTGAAGTCTGAACTTTGCCATCAGAATACAAAACAAAATTTGTTAACAGAGTCTTCTTAAAGTGTGAAAAGTCTGTTAATAGTTTGCAATACTAACGGAATGTTTATTTTTTTTTTTATATATATTTTTCTTAACTAATACGTATTCATTATCATAATAATAGGCAATTCAAATTATATATATATAATCAGTTTGAAGGTGTTCAACTTTTATTTCCACATATCTGACTATGGAATGATTGAGTGAATGATTTTGGAAATAATATGAAAATTAAGTTTTGTCGTTGACAAATTCACTCCTAGCTCAAAATAGAGCCATTTGCCAATATTCATCAACCAGAATTGAAATGCTCAGCGTATTAGCGTCATTCTTATGTGGAGTTAGTTGATTAAGAGTGCCATTGATTCGCAGCAGTTGCTTAAAGTTTTTTATTTTAACTATTTGAGATGAGTTTAGCATTCAGGTGTCAAACATATGACAATATATAAGTAAATTACTTGACCTGTTGACTGCTCACTTGACACCTGCTCTCAATCTCTCTTCCTGTCTCACTGTACAGAAATTGACTTCGATTCCAAATGGCTCAACGCCTTGGAAAGTGCGTTAATCTATTTCTGTGTGTAAAAACAGGCGCTAAGGAAAAGCTCCCCTCGGCAGCATGTGTGTTTACTTGATTTAAGTCGTGTTTGCATTGGGTAAAGTCTCAGTGGCAATTGTTTAATTAAGCATATGTCGAGCCAAAAGACGCCCTCGAAAATCAAAGTTGCCAAATCCATAAAACAAACAAATTACCAACAGCCAACAGATTGCTTAACTCCAAATACGTTTCTTGTGTATCTATGTGTGGGCGTGGCATATATGTATGCGTGTGGTGGGTGTGTGTGGTGTGTGTGGGTAACATATTCATGAATTTTCCACAAGAAAATCGCTACGCAAATAGAAACTGAAAATGTTCCATGCAGAGACAGACAAACAGAGTGAAATAAACGAGAACAATTGCTTGGCATATTTTTAATGTCAAATTGTGCCCCGAAAAAACGAAATGAGAAATGTTTGGTAGCAGAACGATGAGTGTCGACTTTTTTATATTTGCACAAGGCATTTGCTGCGAATCATTCGGAGGGTTGGACAAACAGGACACAGGACATTGTAACAGGAAGCAGTGGCAAGGACACACAGAGAGAGAGAGAGAGAGAGAGAGAGGGAGAGTGGCACACACCAAGCTACAATTGCGTTTATTTGAGTTTACTTTACGCATTAGCTGCGCATAATTTGCGCTAATTTTTTTTCTTTCTCCGGCGCACAAATGCGGCCAGCAGCAGCAACAACTGTGACAACTTAATTTGTGCCAAGCAGATCTGTTGGGCTAGGTGCACGGATGCAGCATCTCTGCTTGTTTACTTAGGTGCCTCCGCTCTCCCTCTCCCTCTCCCTCCCTCTCTCACTCCAATCTATCTGTCCCGCTTGGTGTGTGTTGACAGCCGAACGCATCCTAAGTAAATAATTCGCTAGCGCCGTCGGCCAAACTGCCAAATGGTCAAAAAAAAATCGACAATAGCTGGAAATTTGAGTTAAGGTTTCTCAATTTTTGGGCTGGATATTGAGAAATTATTGGACGATTGTCACCTAATGTCTAATGCAAACACAGCCGCATGTATCGATCAATTGTTGACATGTTCATTGATTTGTTTGCATTTGCCTTCGCGTGTAATTTAAGGACCTAAAGACCCAAGGACGTGCCCTGACATTACAAGCTGTCCCAATCGTTCTACCGCTGGCTCCGCTCTGCGGTCCGGCTGTGTTCTGTTCGGTTCGGTTCGGTTCTGTCTGTTCCGGTCGTTGGCCCGGCCTGTTCATTTGGGAAGCCCCTGCAGTGGCCGGGCAAGTGAAAAACGACACGTAACGTAACGGCGACTACAGCCAGGAGTACAGGCAGGACACAACAATATAACTGCAGGACACACACAACTACACACACACACAACTACAACGCCTAATGCAATGGATACTTCGCTTTAAGCACACATTCTGTGCATGTGGCCCTGGTCAGTTTGCTGTTTAGTTTGTTACACAATTGATTTTCGTAATGCACACGCTGAATGCCAGCACAGGGAAAGGCGTGCATTCGGAAAGTGCACTGACAATTGTATAGATTTTCCACAAACACAACACACACACAACACACACACAACACACACAGATATGTTGTTCGTTGCACCTTCCTTTTGTTTTACAAGTCATCCAGTTACTTTTGTTGCTGTTGCAGCTCGATTTTTATTTCTAGCATAGTTCGCACTGTGACATCAAAATGTTTAATTCATATTATTATTATTTAAATTTTCTTTTAATTGTTTACGGACTTTACTTTGAGAGATACATTTCTATCTTAATGTGCATTTTTTCATTGCACAATGTGCACTTTTTGCTCAACAGTTTGAATATACAAACAGTAAATTCAGAAAAATCAGTTCATTATTATTTTTCAACAAATGAAATTAATGATCATCTTGTGATTTTTGCTCCACTGTGACTACAAACAAAACTGTGGCGCATATTGAATTACAGTGGCAGCTAGAAAAGTGCCGTAAAAAGCCCCCCTAAAAAAAGCGAATAGTCGAAACGCATAATGTGGCAACAAGAACAGAGCCCCGAACAGCAGCAGAAATAGCCGTCGACATGAAAATCGAGTGTTGCATGCAACTGTCTGGTGGAAGCCCAAGGAAGCCAAGCAACTCAATTAGTAGGTACGCAAGGCAGGCGGCAAGGCAGGCGGCAAGGCAAGGCATGGCAAGGCGGACAAAACTAGTTGGCAAGAGTCAGTGGCAGAGGCATTGGCAGGGGCGCAGTCAGAGACGCCTCTAATTGACTCGCCCCCAAGGCTCCACCTACCACCGTCGTTTGTCTGCGCTGGCAGCAACCAGAAGCGGCCCACGTCGCGCCGACCGTCGCACATAAATAATCATTTCTCACAAATGGCAAAAAAAATTAACGACTCTGCGCCGCTTGCCCTGGCAAATATTAATTGAATGATAGGCATCTTTATGTGGTACTTCGCACAGTAGAGTTGTAGTTGTAGTCGCGCACCAGCACTGCTCTCCGTAGGGGTGGTGTACTGTACGTTTACACATTACAGTTGACTACAGTACAGTACCGTACTGGAGTACGGCGGGCCAGGCGGGGAGTAGAGGAGGTGGGCGACTGGCTGGCTGATTGCAACCAATACAAATAACGTAATAATTTTACGCAGCTTATCTGCACCAGAACAGAGCAAACATTTACGCCCTAATGTTTTCATTCGCCGCCGCTGTTGCTGCTGCTGTTGCTGTTGCTGCTGCTGCTGCGAGGGGTGCGAGAGGGCGCGTTGAGGGCTGCCATCGCAATCATAAATCACAAGCAGGAGCTTGCCTTACCCCCACACTCCTACCCTCGGCGAGCATCGCCTCCCTCTCGGCGTATGGCCTCATTGTCACCTCCGATTCAGCTGTTCGATTTTTCGCCGTCGGGGGTTGAAGTAGCAGCCGACGGAGTTTCGCGGTTGCTGTCCACAGCAGCAGCAGCAGCAGCAACAACAACAACAACAGCAATACAAAAGGCAGCCATTTTAGTTGATCCAGGCACCTAGTTGCCGCTGGAAAAGGAGTGAGAGTGAGAGTGAGACCGAGTGAGAGATAGAGTTAGGGAGAGAGAAAGAGAGGCAAAAAAATCGTTGCCCGATCCCAGGCGTAACTCGTAACTCGTAACTCTTTGCTAGGCATTTTCACATTTTCCCCCTTTCTATTCAATTTTTTTTTTTTTTTTGTCGCTAGTTGTTGTTGTTGTTCGCTCTTATAAAAGGATTTGTCTCGTTGTCACTGCCGTTGCCGCATGATAGCGCAATGCAGCGGGCACAGGATATGGCACAGGACGACTAAAAACTTTGTTATATGCTCGAGTGTGTGTGTGCTTGTGTGTGTGTGTGTGTGTGTGCGTAACGCGCACAGCTGTTTTATAAAATTAATTTTCCCATTGCGGATTAACATTTTCAGTCGCTTTTCTCTCCTCACAAGCAATACTGCCACAGAGTCCACATAATACATACTCGTATTCCTTTTTAGATCTGCATCTAAAGGTTGAACAACAACAACAAACACAACAATAACAACAACAACAACAACAAAATCAAACTGAATTGAATTATACAATGCGCATTGATTTATTTATTATGCAAAGTCGTGCATAATTTGCTTTTGTTTAATGCACAACATTTTTCCAGTTACACAACTTGATGAAGCAAGTCAAAATTGAGTTGATTTGATAAGTTTTTCAACTGTGAAATGCAACTGTAAAAACTTAAACTTGAACTAATACTTATTAAAGAAATACCACACTAAATATCATGTGAACTATATAGTTCGATATGAGAATTAGCAAAACTACGTCAATCATTCTAAAAAATTAAAATCTTCTCCTGTTTTACAGTCAAATCTCATGTATTATCCACTTGAACAAGTATCAATTGCTTCTTTCATGGCTTCCGTTGCAATATTAGATTCACTGAAATCAACATCAATGAAAATCAAGCTATTGAAACCCTCATTATTACAATTGTCAGAGAGAGAGAGAGAGAGAGAGAGAGGGAGTGGGGCGGGGGAGAGTAAATTGCTTTGATGTTAGCCAAAGTTCATTAGAGCCACAATCGAATCTTTTGGGGAATTTCAAAATGATTTTTCGCATTTTTCATCTGGTTGAAGCAATATTTTATGCTGGAGCTTGCAAAAATTCCCAGGCTTAGTACATGTTATGAAATTTGCGCAGCTCATTAAACGATTTCAAACGAGAAAACACAAAATGCAGATGAAAACGAATAAGAGAAGAAAAAAAATATATATATATATATATATAAATATATATATACGTCTTTTTTTTTCGTTCGTCAAAGTCAAAACACAAAGCAGATTTTTCAAAATGCAAAATTAAATTAGAAATTGAAATTGAGTTTTAAGCAGCGACTGCACAGCGTGCGGGAAGCGGAAAAATGACAGAGAGAGACAGAGAGAAGCACTGAGAGAGAGAGAGAGGTGGGGTGGTGGAGTGGGCGTTTTGTGTGGTGCTGACAAATAATGAAATTTGATACGCCTTGTTTAATGCTCTTTTTTCGTCAAGTGCGTAGCTGCGGCACGCCCCTTCAAGCAAAATCACCGCTCAAACCGCCTCCTCCTCCTCCTCCTCCGCCCACCCACTCTACCCCAGCGAAGACCCATGCCATGTTGCGTTACGACTGCAATGAAACGCTCGAGTGGCCACAGCCGCCGCGTGGCAAGTGTTAACTTTGGGAAATATGCCATCAAGTTCTTTAGCTTGGGGTGGTGCGGGTGCCATCAATTGTATGGGTTGTGCTGCGGGGCTGTGCGGTGGTTATGTCGGTACGGTAATAAATTCTGCTGTTTACCAAAGCACAAGCCATTAGCAAGCAACACCAACCCCAAATAACAAATCACTGAAACAACATTTCGCTTGCGTTGCGGTGTGCTGCACGAAGAGAGAGGCAGGCCGGGTGTGGTGGGGAGGTGGGTGGTTGGGGAGGTGGGTGGTTGATCCTGTAAGGGAGTTGTGGGCTGAAGTTGGGTACTGTGCACTGGGTACTGGGTACTGGGTACTCGGGGCTGTGATGCCTGCACTTAGCGGATTGTTTGCAGCCCCTTAAGCATAACAAACAAGGCTAAGTGAATTCCTTGCGCTCGAATGTGCCGCTTTATGGGCTGTTTATTGTTGTCTTCAGGCAGCAAGCAGGAGGCAGGAGGCAGGAGGCATGGGTCGCAACGGAAACGAGGGCGTACAAACATAATCGAGTCAATTTTCGGACTCTCGTCCGTCGACCGTTGGAGCTGTCGGCCGTCCTGTCGGCTGTCGGCTGTTGATGTAACTTTTCTTTTTAGCCCGGCGGCGGGAAGCGCGTGACTTTTTGCACTTGTTGTTTTGAGTTGTAAGTTGCGAGTTGTGCCCCGTCTGCAAGCAGCTCATATAATTTATTCATTGCCAGTCCACAAAACTAATTGATGTGGGAAAATTGCAGCCGTTGGCAGCCATAGGCACACACACACACACACACACACACACACACACACACAGAGAGAGACCGCAGACTCACACTTGACTAAGCAAATATACTTGTCGCCTTGCACGTGACAAACTGAATTGAGTTATCGATTTTTAGTGGCACTTCAATTGTATTATAAAATTCTTTATTGGCTCAATCCAATAACGATGTCAATTAAATGTTAGATTTGTAATTAATATTTATATGTTTGGTTTTTGTTTGTTTGTTTGTTGCAGGTGTGGTTCAAGAATCGACGGGCCAAGTGTCGCCAGCAGTTGCAGCAGCAACAGCAATCGAACAGTTTGAGCAGCTCCAAGAATAGTAGCGGTGGCAGCGGCAGCTGCAGCAACTCCGCCAATGGTGGTCGCAACAGCAACAATAACAGCAACAACAACAACAACAGCAGCAACAACAACAACAGTTCAAACAGCAGCAATAACAATAACAACAACAACAACAGCGCCAACAAATCCAGCCAGAAACAGAGCGGATCTGGCCAAAGCAGCTCGAGCAATGCGAGCGGCAATGCGAGCAGCTCAGCAGCAGCCGCTGTTAGCGCTGCGGCCGTTGCGGCGGCGCAGTCCATTAAGTCACATCACAGTTCCTTCCTCAATGCTGGCGCCAACAGTAACAACAACAATAACAACAACAACAACTCGGCGCCCAGCAGCAGCAGCGGCGGCAGTCACAACAGCGGCCCGGGCAACTCACATTCGCACATCTCCGCAGCGGCTGCGGCGGCTGCCTTGAATGTGACGGCAGCGCATCAGAACTCATCGCCGTTGCTGCCGACGCCGGCGACGTCTGTCAGTCCGGTGAGCATTGTGTGCAAGAAGGAGCATCTCGGCGGCGGCTATGGCAATGTGGGCGGCAACAATGGCGCCGGCGTTGGCATTGGCGTCGGCGGTGTGGGCGGTGGTGTTGGCGTTGGCGGCGGCGGTGGCGGTGGCGGCGGCGGCAATGGCGTCGGCGTTGGCGTCTCTGGTGATGCACTGCGTTCGCCGTATGATACGTTAAAGGATGCGGGCGGCGATATTGGGGCTGGTGCACATCATCATCACAGCATCTATGGAACGGCGGCGGGCAGCAATCCGCGCCTGCTGCAGCCGGGCGGCAATATAACGCCAATGGATAGCAGCAGCAGCATTACGACACCCTCTCCGCCAATTACGCCAATGTCGCCACAATCGGCGGCAGCAGCGGCGCATGCCGCACAGTCCGCGCAATCGGCATCGGCACACCACTCGGCGCACTCGGCATATATGTCGAATCACGACTCGTACAACTTCTGGCACAATCAGTACCAGCAGTATCCCAATAATTATGCCCAGGCGCCCAGCTACTACTCACAGATGGAGTACTTTAGCAATCAGAATCAGGTCAACTATAATATGGGCCATTCGGGTTATACGGCATCCAATTTTGGTCTGTCGCCGTCGCCATCGTTTACGGGCACCGTGTCGGCGCAGGCATTCTCGCAGAACAGTCTGGACTACATGTCGCCGCAGGATAAGTATGCGAATATGGTGTAGAATCTGCTGTTCCAGTACTGCAGCAGCTCCGGCGGCAGTGGCGGCAGCAGCGCCAGCAGCGGACGCTCGCCGCAGCCACAGCCACAGCCACAGCTACAGCTACAACAGCCGCAGTTGCAGCTGCAGTCGCCGTCGCAGCAATACCACCAGCAGCAGCAGCAGCAGGAACACCAACAACAACAACAACAACAGCAACACCAGCAACACCAGCAACACCTACAGCACCAGCAGCACCAGCAGCATCAGGAGGATCATCAGCAGGAGGATATGGCTGAGGTGCATGGACATGATCATGTCGCCTATGGCTAATTGTGATTCCTCATCACATACATATCTGTCTCCCCCTCTCTCTCACTCTCACTCTCTCTCTCTCTCTCCCTCTCTCTCTCTCCAACTGTCTTTCCCATTCCTAATCTCTTTCTCTGTCTCTCAAAGAACGGGCGCTGCATTCTCTCATATATGTATGTATGTATGTATATGAAAGACAAACTTTAAAATAATATATATATATATATATATATATACATATATATAAATACTTTTTTTTTATTTTTTTTTTGCTAGCTAATAATTTTTTTTTTACATTTATGCATTAATAGATTGCTATGTGTGTGTATTAAATTAGAGCACGCAACACACAGACATATATGTAGATGTGTATATATAGAAGATATGCATATATACATAAGTGCATATGTGTGTGTATACTATATATGTACATAAGAGTATGTATATAGTATAACTTAAGCCGCCAGGATCAACGAAGAAAATGAGTGATAAACTAAGAAAATAAACATAAAGCAAACCCCGACACATTTGTTAAAACTCGTAAATGATATGCAACTAAATGTAAGTGAGCAAAATTTAAAATACAACAAAACAAAAAAATAATGAATAAAAATAATAAAAAAAATTCTATATATATATATAAAATAATAAAAGTTAATAATAAAGAAAAACAAATGCAATATACAGACCATCTCTTGGCAGGATGGGCAAGTAGAGCGTGGGCGGGGCATAGTTCTGATAATACCTATTTAAATATAGCTGCTGGCTTTCTTTAAGTGGGGCGATTTTTAAGTTACCTTCACATCGATTTGTATAAAAGTTCAATTCTATTTTTTGGCAGCTGTTTAGTTTTGTTAACATCTATTTATTTTGTATCAAAGTTTCTCAGAACGCCCCACAAAGCCAGTGTTTCATATCATAAATAACAAAAACAAAAAACAAAAAAAAATCAAAAAAAAAAAACAACTAAACAAGTTTTAATATACATAAAACGAATTCACAGTTCTTAAAGCAAGCATAATTTTTTAGCTAACAAAAACGTAAATGAAAACGAATAAAAAAATGAAAACAAAAATATATATTGAAATGAATTTCATTGTGACATCAAGTTTAAAAGTTCAAAGCATAATTTTGTCGTCTTTATATAACACACATATTTATACATATATATATGTATATATTTATATATATATATGTATATGGAAAATATTATTATAAACAAAGCAAAAACAAAATGCAAACACCTTATAAATGAATTCACATTTCAGACTTTCAAAGCAAAGCAAAAGTATTAGAACTTAAGAAACTAAATCGGAATAAATCAACGGTCACTATATAATATACACTTATATAGCGAATTTTATTGCAAATAAATATATATACGTATGTACATATACATGTATGCATATATGTATATTTATATACATATACATATAGTATTTATAATGAAAAAGAAAATCATGCCACAATCCAAAACGAAGCAAAACGCAAAAAAAAATATTTATAATGAATATAATTTTAAACATGTACAAAACTAAAAACAAATAACTAAAAGTCGAAAATCTTTTGAAAATACAAAACAAAAACAAAACAAAACATAGTATATAAGAAGTTTACGTATATATATGTATATCTATTTATATATATATATATTTGTATGCATATATATATATGTATGTATATATATATATATACATATGTGTGTGTGTATATATGTTCATCGTAAAGTATGCTAACAAAAACATCGTTTATACATATTAAATACAAATAATTGAAAAAACAGTTTCTAATGTTAAAATACACACACATCCACACATACAAATAAATACATACAAACATATGATTAGTTCAATGTGCTTGAAGAAGAAGAGATAATTTTTTTTTTAATTTAATTTTTTTGTTTAGTTTTAAGTTCAATATAATTGTATTCTAAGCGTATCCATTTTGTTTGAAAAACACACACTCACATAACCAAACACACACACACACACACACACACATACATACTCATACACATACACACACAAAAACACACACACACACACATGAACGATATTACGCTATACACTGAAACAAAAGAAACATTTAGAAACTAACTAGAAATAAGTGCATTTTTTTGGGCATACATTTTAAGAGAAGACGAAATATAAAACAAAACAAGAATCAAGAAAAATAAGTTGATAATATTTAAGTGAGTATAACTATATATGCTACATATATGTATATGCATACACATTCGTGCATATACATATATACTACATATATAGATACATACATATATATACATAAATATATATATATGTATACATATATATTTATATTTATATATATATAAACATATATTTATATATATATATGTGTGTATATCTGTATATGTATATATATGTATATATATAAGCAAACTGGTTAATTCTTTTTTTTAATTATAAACTAAAATAATTGTAAAAAGTTCACAAAAATATGATCAGATGAATAATATATATATAAAAACAAAAAACATACAATTCTTTTTTATTCAGTAAACTAAGTAAAACAAACATTTCAGCAAAGGGAGAATGGGTCCTACTTTTGGAAAATTCCTACGGAACTCTATATATATGGGAATCTTAGACTTGTTCGCAGAACAATGTATGTCAATGTCGATATTAGAAGAGAATCATTCTCAATTTTCTGTTTGGTAAGCCATTTCTCAAGATTTCAAAAATATGTTGTTGGAAGTTGTTTACTTTAGAAGATAATTCGAACTCAACTTTATTTAAATAAATGTGAATTTTTCAACTAAATTTTGATATGCATTAATGCATTTAATTGTAGTTAAACACATTTGTGATTTAAAATGATTTAATTGAAATACACAGTTGATATACATAATGGGTTAGAAACTTTAAGTTTTGCAGCTTTTATTATTCATATTATTATTTTTGAAAAGCTTTATTTGACAAAGGAACTTTTCTAATGAAATCAAACTTCTTTTAGAAGCAAAATTATTTACAAGCTGCCCAAACTTATGCGTATACATTTATTGGACTCCTCAATTCTTAGCTTATCGCTTGAACTATATTTTAGTAAGCCTTGACCAGTTCGTAATCGTACATATACAGTATCTGTAGTCGATTCGATAAGCTTAAAAGTCGCATATATATTTGTGCTCTATTTTTTTCAGATTTTTATTTTTTATGATGTTCCGTCTAACAAATATTGTCCGTGAGGAGAGTATATATTCTGTATTTATGTTTGCTATTTATGCTATTTATGGGCACGAGACGCTTTGGCTTGGGGCTTCTGGATGTGCTGTAGATCGTCGCTTACCCGTGCCCCGTGTCCCCTTTTGCCCTGCACCAGATACTTGGCAGCGACTCCACGAACAACAGCGCTGGACTGGGTAGGGCAGAGCAGGGCAGGACAGGGCAGGACAGGGCAGGACGGGACAGAACTATACGGTACGGGGCGGGGCGGGGCGGTCGGCACGTCAGCGTGTCCGGCGGCCATCATCATCATAAACCATTAATTCAGCTCATAAAGAGTCGCAGTCACAGTTGCCACGCCTCGCCAGTGAATATGTTTTTTTTTTTCCTCCGATTTGTTGTCATAAGTATGCCTGATTGTAGTTTTTTATTCTCTTCTCTTTTTTATTTATATTTTTAATGAGCCTGGTCAGAGTGACTGTGGCTGCTGCTGTATGTGTGTGTGTGTGTGTGTGTGTGTGTGTGTGTGTGTGTGTGTGTGTGTGTTTATGTGTGTTGTTAATCTCTGGCATTGTCTTGGCGCACAGAAATTCCTTTGGGCTGCGTGTGTGTGTGTGTGCGAGTGTGTAAGAGCTTTCATCTTTCTATTAATTATGATGATTAAAAATGAAAATTCATTTGCCATTTGCGGCTAATTGTCACTCCCCGCTCCACGTTCCGTCCGCATGTGGCACGCGCCTCAAATCGACAGCAGCAATCGCATTGCGATTGTATTTACGTGTATCTCACAGATACAATTTGCCGCTCGTGCCTCTTTTTATTATCTAGCACGCGCCCACGTCTAACGAGACGATGCGAGACAGGGCGAGATGAGACGCGACGAGACGCAAGGGGATGCAGTGGCAATCGGTGGCAAGCAGTGGCAAGCGGAGGCGAGTCAAGCAACTGGCAGCCAATCCATCAATGGGCGCGTGTTGCTTATAGAATTACCAACTAATTCGGTATTTATGAGGCTTCGTCGAGTGCATTGCGGCCTGGGACTGCCGCTGGTCCCCTGTCCCCTTTTCCCCTGTCCCCGCCCCCACCATCCACGGTCTCCAGCAATAGGAAACCTGCAAATTGAGATGCTAGCCCCGGCAGAAATTGTTTTTAATCTGCAACGGGCGACGACTTCGTTGCGCCTTTTAGCGGCACATAAACCCCACCAAAAAAAAAACACTCACACACAAACACACACACACACACACAACACACGGAAGCAGCCATCAAAGCAGAAACCGTTTTGAGTTTTCAGTTCCCAGGCACACGCCCTGCTCATTATTTTGATTTTAGCTATTTGTGGGCGGCATCGCTGTAAGGGTATCATCCGATTGGGGCATATGTCATCCACACTGCAACTGGTAGGGTCAAAAGGGTAATCAAATAGTGCATAATAATCTTTGTTAAATACACATTGCTCACTTGGACACTAAGCTAGTTTCCCATTAATCAGAACGCACGGCATTCACAGGCTCAACTAATGTGCTTGGAATTCGTCCTTTTAAAAGGTATTAATTGACTTGGACATTGGCATTGGCATATTTATTCGATAT